TATTTTGATACTGTCTTGAGATTTCAGGCATTTTTTTTTAAGTGATGGTGTAAAAACAAGTGCTTTCACATTTACCGTCAAACGGACAGTGTTGGGTGGGGGGGGGGAATAGGCTTGATGAGAACCATTCACCCCCTTCCTTAAACCTTCTGTCGCTAGCTGAGCTCCCCTGGCTGCTCTCCTACGCAGAGGGGCGAGCACCCCGCTCAAGTGGGCGGGTCCCTTCAGAAGACTGGGAAGGGGCGGCTGGTGGTCACAGGGCCTGGGAGGCAGGGCCCCGGGACCCCAGCTGGCCTGAGGACAGGCGCCAGGGCGGCCTCTCGGTGGTTCTGGTCCACGCTGACTGTGCCTACCACGGAAACAGGCAGGAGAGCTGCACCATTTTAGACTTTTCTGCTCTCAAGTTTTTTTAGACTTTTCTGTTTCCACCTCCCCGCCGAGGGACAGAGCCTCCTGCTGATGCGGATGAGAGTCTGTGGGTGGGGGGTGGGGGGAACCAGAAGGGCAGGCTGGGAAAAGAATGGGTGACTGTGGTGTCTCCCCAAATGTACATCCACCAGAAAGTGGCCTTACATGGACCTGGGTCTCTGCAGCTGGAATTCGTTGAGATGAGTCAGAGCAGATGAGGCTGAGCCCAGGTTCAATGGCCGGTGTCCTTACAAGAGGGAGGACAGGGAGGTGCATGCAAGGAAGAGCCGTGTGAAGAGGGAGTGACTCATCTGCCCCGCAGGCAGGGCCAGGAGCCCCCGGGAGCCAGGAAGGGCAAGGGAGGGTTCTCCCCAAGTCTTCAGAGGGAGCCCGGGTGTGCAGGCACCTTGATGGCAGACTCTGGCCCCCAGAACTGAGAGCATGAACGCCTGTGGTTTTAGGTCACTCGGTCTGCGGTGGTTTGTTTCCATGGCCCTAGGAAACTGACAGCTGACACGGCACCTATGGCGGGAAGAGGGAATTAGAAAAAATCAATTTCCATTTCTGCCTCTGAGACCTTCTTCCACAGCAGCTCAGTGCTGGGGTTGCCTGGGGGGTGGGTGGAGAGAGGGACCGGGGCTGGGCAAGAGCCGCAAACGGATGAAAAGAAACAGGTGTTTGTTTAAGCAGGACAGTTGGGCTCAGTTGAGAGAGGAGGTATCTACATTCCCTTCTCATTAAATCCCAGAGTCTTATCTCTGATTATAATCAGAAATCAGGAGCGTGTGGACAAATCATCCCCCTGAAGCAGAGTTAGGACCCAGAGGGGTTCATACTCCTGACCTCACCTCTCTTGAGGTCAGAATTGAACTAAACAAGCTAATGGAAACCAGGGGATGGGAACCTGCCTTCCCCTGCTCTCCGCCTCCCCCCCTCCCACCTCCCACTCCCCCAGCTCGGACACCAGCTTCCAGAGGAGGTGGTCAAGGTGCGCAGCCTTTAAGGACTGTTCCAGGTGCAGGGTCAGAGGCGGATTTAGTGAGAAAACTTTGTTGTCCATTCATTCCCCCGAAGCCCTGCAGGTGAATGGGAGCTCCTGAGGAAGATAAGATCAGCTCCAGAAAAAAAACAAAGGGATTGCATTGGCTCCCGCCTAGGAGAAGTGATGTATGTGACTATTCCAACGTCATCAGTACGAAGAACATCAGCTCAGTTTATTTTTTGCTTTCCTAGCTCCTATCCCTGCTTTCAATCCCAGACATGTTCTTTCTTCCTTCCCAGATATATTCTTTCTTTCTTGGAACTACCAACTTCAGCTTTTCATAAGCTTCTTTGAGAATCATTCTTTTCCTTCCATTACAAGCGAAAAGTTGATTTCGGTGGATCTCTCCAAAGCGGTCCCTGAATTCCTAGCGCCGTGCCCCTCCCTACACCCCCTTGGCGCCCTTCTCCACCTTTGAGTCCCTTTATCTTTAAAGTGCAGGTGTTTTAAACTTGACCCTTGCGTGCTGTGATTTCAGAACTGTGATTTCAGAACAGTTGCATGCTGTGATTGCAGGCTGTGATTTCAGAACTCTGAGTCCACAGTCAGTTGAATAGTCACACCTCCAGGGCCTGCTGCCCACCAGCACAATTACACCCAGGTCTAGGATGCATTTGAAACCTCAATTATTGATGAATTAAAAGAAGAGAGGCTCTCTCTCTCCCCACATACCCCCCTCAAAAAAAAAAAAAAAAGAGAACAGAAGGTACCAAGGTGAATAGGACGAAGCTCCTCCTCCCTCATGGATCTCTCTCCCAGGAAATTGTGTTTCTCCCACTAAACAAAGCTGTCTCTAAATCTAACCGGGTAGCCTTCCCCTCTTAGAACAGAACCCCAAGGGATAATTTCTGCTGACCAAGAAGCCCAACCCAAGGACTCTAGCTGTGCTGCTAATAACTAGAAGAGACATAAGGCAGCTCCTCAACCCTAAGCCCACAAGTCCTCCTCAGTCTGTGGTAATGACCATCCGAGACAAACCACCTGGCTGATATTTATGTTTATATTCAGATTTTCCAAGTGCCCGGTACCATCATTGCCAGACACTACGCTGTTCATGTAGTAGCTGTGACCAGTATTTCCTGTTTCTAAAGTTTACAAGAACTTGCTCTGTGTGACATATAGCCAGTGCAGTACAGTAATTGCTGTATCTTGGTTTTGATTTTGCTCACAAATTCTAAAAACTGTGAAGAGAGATGTTGATTTGCAAATGCTCTTCTAGAACCTGAGTAAGCTTTAATTACCTCCCCCCACCCCCCTGTCTTGTTATCCAGCCTGTCATCTGCAGAGATGTTTCAGTACGTGGGAAGCGAACAGTACTGCTCCGCTCAGTCCCAGCCCATCACCTGTGGCCGGGATTCGTTCTATGACCCCTTGGGTCTCAAGGAGGGGTCGATAGCCTCAAGAGGCTCCAGAAGACCCTGAAATTATGCACAGAATTGTATCAAACAACAATTTCTGGGAGGATGGAGCTATCAATTTTCCTCCACCTCAAAAAGGGTTAACAAGGGTGGGGCCCACGGCTGTGAGGGTTTTTTTTCATTGGCTTGGACTAGGTCTGTGAGCCTCAAGAATACTGCAGGGTCAGCTCCAGCACCCATGGGTGGCACAGGCAGTCTCCCAAAAAGAGGAGGCACGCACTACAGGGAGGAGGGAGACTCAGAGATGAGGAGGCAGGAGAAGAGGCAGGAACCCAGGAGTGCATGACCCTTCTCCAGCCCGCTGTGTTTTTCCTGGCTCTCTCTCGGGCTCCAGCCACCTTCTGGATCATTCTGTGTATGCCAACATGCTGATTTTCCCTAGTTACTTAATAGAAGCGCTAAGGGTCTAAAGAAAACCTGGTTCCAAGTGGAAGGCGAGGTTTAAGCCCCATTTCAGTGTTAGGGTTGTTTACATTGCAGCAGGTCAGAGAACACCAAAGTCCATTGAGATCTTGAGATGCTCTCAACCTTCTCACTTCCCAGTGATCCTATGACTTCTGCAAAGCTACTTCCGGAGTAGCAGCGGATTAGGACCAAAGCCCAGGTTTCCTGAGATCCACCCCCCCGTCCATCACCTACTCTCCTTTCACGCCTCATCCAAGCCCCGGTCTCTACAAGACACATCAGAGAATCTGAGGACTCTCCAGAAATGCCTGTTGCCGTTGAAGAGTCATCACTGACTCTTCCACAAACCCTACTTTTTTTCTGTTTACTTATCTGTCACGTTACACACATAAAAATGAAGACTGTCCCTCTCCTTTCAGCAAACTCTCAGAAATAGGAAAACAAAGATGCACGAAGGAAAGGAACAGGCTGCTTTTCTGGCCCATGGCACTTGGGCCCTCACCTGAGATGGTCCTCTGGGTGCTGGTCTAGCTGAGTTATGTCTCCCTAACATCACACAATGCAAAGCCCCCAGGGGGTACATTTCCATGCCATTTTACAAACTGCACGAAGCACTTTGAGCAGTGCCTGCTTCATGTTAAGGTCACAGCGAGTAATACTAGTAGGGATCGAGTGACCTCGTCACCCACAATGCATCTGAAGCACAAAGACCCCCTGGTTTATAGTTCTTGGTCTAATGCTCTTCTGCTCACACCATGTTACTGGGCAGACACTCCCTGAACCACCCAGCCCCCAGTCCGGGGAAAGGGTATTCACTAAGGAAACCTGGCCCTCCCCCAGGAAGAGATTGGCAGTTGCAAACCAGAAATCAGGACAGGTCACGCCAGCTTGCTGTCGATTTCTTGCCCTCCTGGAGGGAAAGGAAAGAAAGAGAGGTGGTCCGACCAGAGGGTGCAGGCTTGGGTTGCAGGATCTGATTTTAGAGGTGAGTCTTCCACCAGATGATGTGTTATTTTAACATTTAAGCGAGCCTTTAAGTGAAGCTCCTTTCTGGGCAACCTGGCAACTGCTAAAAATAAACTCAAGCTCCTGAAATATTTTAGGTTTGCCTTTAAGCTTTCTTTGGCTGGGAACCAGGCTATTTTCAGTCTCATTGCCCCAGGTGGTATGGATTTGATCTATCGGATGACAGAGGGACCAGTGACCTATGATGCCCACAACGTGCCTGCAGCGAGGTTGCAGCAGGTATTCAGGAAAGGTTAGCTATGGCGAGGATGCAGCAGCCCGGGGTGTTGGGGAGCAGGGAACACCCACTTTCAACATTCCTGGAGGCTCGGGGCAGAGGGCGGGGCGTGGATGCTGTGTAGACAAGCACCAGCTATTGTATCTAGTCCGGGTAAGGAGGAAAGAACATTTCCCCAAAAGGGACCGGAGTTAGGGAAGCAAAGTATCCCGCCGGAGGACATGGCAGTGGGTGGAGGTGTTGACCAGATGAAGCAAGGAGCTCGACTATCCTGGCCCAGGGGCGTTGAATTTGGCCTTCAGAACCCTGGCCTCTCCCTCCGTGATCCATCTTCTCACATTTCCCTATTCTCCCCACCCCCAATGTCAAGTTCACCTTGGCCGAGGCCCTTTTGATCCCTTGGCATTGGACCAGCCCCTGAGTTCCTGGCTAGGAGACACACCCCTTGCCCTTTGTGACATTGTCCTTCCAACTAATCCCTGCCCCAGACTGCCCAGTCCCTCCTGAAGGGCTCTAGGGAGAACCCTTCCTGCCTTGTCCTTCCTCCCTCAGCAATCTTTTCCTCTTGTATCCATTAGCAATGTTCTTAGCTGCGCTGTGCAGAACAACCAGTGAGTAGTGTCCTCAAACAGAAGGACATTTGTGGTTCGGGCACAGAATTCTGGATAGAAGGTCTCCGTGTTGTTCCCATGGCTCACGGATGCCCAACAAGCTCTCACGTTCTTTCTCTCTCTCTTCCCCACCAGCCATTTTGTGTGACTTTTCTTTTTTGGAGTGGTGGCTCATGACCGCAAGACGCTGGCTGGCGATAGCACAGGCATTGCCTCTGGTCCAGGAAGGGTAGACCATGCACCCGCCATGTCGGTCCCTTATGTAAGGGAACGCTTCCCTGGAAGCCCCTTACTGGAATGAATTCCCATTACATCTCTTTGGCCAAACCTCTCCCCTCGGTTCCATTTGGCTGCAGAGACGTGGGCGACCATGTAACTTTTCAGCCTCTAGTTGGAGGGAGCAAAGAAGGGTTGGGGATGTTCTTGAGTGAGTCAAACCACAGGGTCTACCACAGTTGCCTAATCAGTAGAGAATGTTCCTAAGACTGCACTAAATGACGAGAATTATCTAAGAGTTGATCCATATAACATGACAGTGCAACCTCTGGTTTTTGCACTGCAGGAATCTCATCCAGTGAGTGAAGGAGGAGAATCGGTGGCGAGCTTTCCTCTCCTGGAGCCCCGAGGTTAGTTAAGTTCCATCCATTAGCACAACTTGTCAAGAATTGTCATTTATCTTTCCTATGTACATCTTGTCTCTTCAGCTGGATTATAAGCTATTTGAGAAGAGGGATCTTCTCTTACACCACCTTCGATTGTCAGTGACTCAAATTACTCTGCTGGCCTCCAGGACATTGATTAATGTGAAAATGCTGGACATCATGGGGTGGACGAGGAGGCAACACGCCTTTCCCTGGGCTCCATGGCAGACACACGCCTATGTCTGCCATAAGCAACAGATGAAAACAAGGTGCTTGTAGACACGGAGGCTTGTTAAAGCGGGGCTGGAAAATGCTGTGCAAGCAGAGTATAAGTTTTCAAACTTCCTACCACTTTCAAAAGCCTGTTTGGAAGTGTTACTAAATTTGGCGTACCCTTTCTCCTCTTTGTGTTCATTCATATGTTTATTCATTCAGCAAGCCAATGGAGCTCCCACAATGGAAGAGTGTGATGCTCAGAAATGCGTGTCACAGGGCCCCTGTCTGCAAGCCTAGAGGAAGCCGACAGATAAACAAGTGGGCGGTGTTCATGTTGTAAGAACCACAATAGTCTTCCACTCAATGTGCCTGGGAGGTCAGGGGTGCTGGCTTTATATAGAGGGGCATTCCCAACCCTTCAGTGGAATTGCTTTTAACTTGCTAGAGAAGCTAGGTTTTTGTTTTTTAATATTTAAAGGGCAGGGATTTATTTATTAGGGAAGGGATAAAACAGTTAGCCACACTTGCATAGACACAAGCGGGCAGGAAGAGCTGCCCAGAAGGGACAGGTTTGCTAAGAGAGGCCTGCATGGTTGCAGGCGGACGGCCTTGACAGGTCACGGGCAGGCAGGAAGGCTGCTGCTGCCCTGCAGAGGGAGAGTTGGTGAAAAGAGGCACCTGCTTAGTCACAGGTGGGCAGTGGGATTGCTGCTGAGAAGCTAGGTTTGTTTTTTTTTAAGTGATTTCTTTTTTTTTTTTTTTAAAGATTTATTTATTTATTTATACAAGCACTGGGTACAGTCAGAAGCGCGGGAGGGTGAGAGAATTCACCAGAGCCAGAGCGGGGAGCAGAGCAGGCAGAAGGACTGAAGTACACTGCTGAGGGGAGCAGCGGGCATGGCAGGAGCCGGGAATTGAAGCCGTGCTGCAGAGGCTGCAGACAGCTTCACAGTGCTGTGCTCAACAGCTGCGCCCCCAGGGGAGGCCCGAGAAGCTAGGTTTTATAGCCAGAATAGGTCATGAATCTTGTCTCTGCCACTTACAGGGGACCCTGGGGAGATTTCTATCCCTGAAGGCTAATCAGCTCACATGTCAGTTCTCAATGGATTGCCTCTCAGCTCCAAAGGCCTGCTTCATTCTCAGTGATGAGAATTCCTTCAGCCATTTTCTCTTTTAAAGTAAGTGCCAGATGAGCTTTCTCAGCAGAGGGCACTGGAAGGATATTGCAGGAGGAAGTCTGTTCCTATCATCTCCAGCAGAGTGGGGCTGAGGATATGTGTGTGGTCAGCCTTGACAGTCTGTCCTGAACATGGTCCATGTGCAACCTTGCAGCCTTGGCCTAGTGATCACTCACCTGCAGCCTTGTCTGCTCAGAAAGCAGAGCTCTGCGTGGCCTGTGCACATCGCAGCCTCTTGCCATACCCACACCTGGACTCCCCTCCTGTACCCACACCTGCACTCCTCTCCTGTACTCACACCTGGCCTCCCCCTTCCTGAACCCACATCCAGTTTCCTTCCACAAGCCCCCACATGGCCCTGCACAACCAGAGTTGGTGTCCCCTCCCCCACCCCACATGCAGCCTGCATGGCCTGGACCTCCGTCCTGCCTGTACCTGCACCCACCGCTCCCCTCTGTGCTGGGAGCTCACAGCTTCTCCCCATCTGCACTGGGAAGTCTAGTCTGTTGCTTACCCACAATTCCAGACCAGCTCTGGCCTGCCTGAATTAGGGAACTCCTCTGCTACCCGGTAGCCTGGCTACACCTTCTGCAGCTGGTGAGAGCCCCTCTGAGCGGTCCTTCCCAGTGCCCTCTTCACCCTGGAGCACCGAGTATGCCCCCACCCATCATGGGGTGGACGAGGAGGCAACTCACCTTTCCCTGGGCGCCATGGCAGCCAGCAAGTCTTTAGATTAGTTCCCCTCAATGAACCTACAGTGTAATTTCTAACTCTTGACTGGGCCCAGGATTTTACCCCATCAGAAATGAGTTGCTTGTATCAGCATTTCTGACTATTTTACCAGTTGAATGCGAAAGCCCACCTAAAGCCCAAGGCTCATGGCCCGCTCCACAGGCTGGCTCGTGTGCACTGCGCCTCAGCCATCACTTTCTTTCCACAGAGAACAAAGGAGACCAACGTCAGTGAGTGCAACAATTGTGTTGATGTGCAAGTGGTTAGTCTTGGAGGAGGAAACAGAGGGTCAGAGAGGCCAGAGAGGTGACTTGGGGTCATGCATGCAATATTGGATGGAGCTGAATCTGGCGGTCCGTCCTCTGAGTCCACCCTTCACACACCACACTGGGCTCCCTCCCAGAACCCCAAATCTCCTTTTCGCCTGAACTGGGATAGTTTCCCAACATAACAGCACCTCCAGAATCTCCCATTCTCTCATGATGAGGCGGCTGAGCTCGGGGCATGGTCTGCTGGAGGCCAATGATGTCACTAAACCATCTTCCCCCAAGAGAAAGGTATGACTCATCTGGAAGGTGTAAGTCTGTGGTTTCCCCTTCTCTGAGTTGGCCTCTGACTGAGCCCCACAGGAGCTTGCCCTTGGAACCAAGGCCATGGCTTTGACTACGTGTACTGGGTTGTTAAAGACTCCACTTTGAAAATCGCATTGGCTAAAATCAAGCGTATAGATTCTCTTATTGGCAAAGGACCTGTTGCAGGCTTTGTTGCTTGAATGTAAAGTCCAAAAGACCAACAGTCTTTGCTAGGTTCACAGTGATTGTCTGGTGCTTACAACACAGCCTGCTGTAGAGTCCACGCTCAGTGTCTGGCAAGTGGACGAACCTATGAGGTCAAGGATTCACCACATTTCTTTACATGGGGGCTTGGCTAGGAGGGCGCGTTAAAGTAGGATTTTAGAAAGCAAGAGGGGGAAATACGTACACTGCAAGAGAACATGATTTACTGTGTTGTAAATCAAGGCGTGCTATGCTGGCTATGATGGTACATTCCAAGGCCCAGACTCACCCAAATGAAAGTTTCCTGTCCCATGCTTTGCCCTCCTCTAGTGTCTTATTTTCTTAGTCGCCTCTGGGCTAATCAGCCTGTCCCTCCCTTAACTTGCAGGTGGTGATCAACAGCAGATAGATAACATCCCATTAAGTAACACAGTGACATTTTAACTGGAGCACTTTGGAAAAGTTACCCAGGGCTTGCAGAGAATTCTGCGTATGGCGCCCACTCCTTCAGTGCCTGCTGGCACTGATGATATCAAGATCTTAAAATAAAGGACTGACCTAGGTAGTGGAAATTCAGGCAGGGGAGGAAGGCTTAAGAGAGTGCGGTGGTGTTTTCAGTTGGACAGTCTCCTGACACTTCTCAAGTGGTGCCAGGAAGCTAACGACCCCTCCTATGCTTAATAGTATATTTGTATGCGAGCTCATTGTGGAAATTTGGAACCAAAATAGCAAACAAAAAGGACACTCACCTCATGTGTCACAGATGTCCAGGTATAGAGCTGACACCATGTACACATTGAACTCTTGGACCTTGCTTCTTATTTGCCAGTATTTACTTTTCTTGTTTTCCATTTAAATATGATGAGGGGATAAAAGAGATACAGAGAGTAAATACGTATTTCTTTTTTGAAACACCAGGTATGAACTGGTACTGTCTCTGTTTATAGCTAAAAGTCTCTTTTCAGGGCCTCCCCCGTGGTGCAGTGGGTTGAGCGCAGTGCAGTGAAGCTGTCTGCAGCCTCTGCAGCGCGGGTTCGATTCCCGGTTGGCTGGGGAGAAACCCACATGGCACCGCAGACCTCTCCTGCCTCTCCCGCTGCTCCCCTCAGCAGTGTATTTCTGTCGTCTGCCTGTTTCGTTCCCCGCTCTGTCTCTGGTGAATTCTCTTACCCTCCCGCGCCTCTGGCCTGTACCCCAGTCCTTGTCAAATAAATAAATGTTAAAAAAAAAGTCTCTTTTCAAATGGAGTGGTCCCAAAGTCGGGAGCAGACAAGTCCAAACCTTTTCAAATTTAAAGGTCAAATGGATAAAATTGGGCAGAACTGTCTCAACTGGGCGCGGCTCATTCATTCACTCATGCTCTCAACAATCACTTACGGAGCCCCTTAACCACTGCCATGGCCTGCACCCACATGGATGGTCCCTGCAGACCACATGGACCTGCACAGCATCCCCAGCTGGAACATTCCCCAGGACTGGGGAGGATTCAGTGATACTGTTGAATCAACCAATGGTCCCGGCTCTCATGCAGTTTGTAGTAAACAAATGGTACTGCCTTCTAATTCAGCTAGCACTTACACTCCGAGCATCTGCGTGAGATGGACATGTGGCTGGCAGCAGGCAGCCTTGGGGGAGATGGAAAAGGCCCGGCCATGCTGATGCCCTGTTTCCCTGTGTGCAATGCATTGGCTGCAGGGCAATAGGCCTGATGCTCTTATGTGATTTAAGGACCTGCACTGTGCCCACCGCTGTGCCAGGACAGGGCGCTCGGTAGGGAGAGAGGTTATCTCCTCCCCTCTCTAAGTGCAGACAGGTTCCTGCACTTTTGAATAGGGCTGCTGCAAAGCAGAAGTACTGGGGAGCAGAAGTTGCCATTACAGACCTCAGCGGTCTCTTTGGCAGGTTTGAGTCCTTGTAAAAGAATTTAATGAGAATCCAAGGCAGATGGCATCCACACAAGGTTTATTAGACTCACGCATGGGGGCAGCAACCCCAGAGTGGAAATTTCTGGGCTACCTCCCCAGGGGAATTTTCAGAGCCTTCTTAAGGCAGCTGCCTATCAGGGCACAGGAGAGGGAAGGGACCTCCTAGCGCGCCCCATGCCAGGCTGTCCTAGAGCACGCATGGGGAGTTACATGCTCTGTCAGGTACTAACTTTCTCACCTCCCAAACTCATCCACCCTGGGGCGTGTATCCTGCATGTGGATGGACCCCATCATTTCTCAGGCAGAGCCTTCGCTAACCCCGCATGTGGCGCCACGGCCACCCCCTCCATCCAGGGAGGGCGGGCAGTTGGTGCTAAAGCCGCAACTTTTGTCAAGATATAAGGTGCTTTCTCTCACGATAGGGCAGGGATGGGGCGATTCAGGGCTGTTGAGACCAGTGTCGAGGACTGCCAGCTGTGCCAAGGTCCACCTGTCCTGCCAGAGTGCAATCACTCCCTCTGGCAGCCGCGATTCACAGCGGACAGGTGAGGCTTGAAACAGGTGCCCAGGTGGTTCGGGCCAATGTGAGGCAGTTTTCTCTCCAGAGGCAATTTCCCGACCAGCTCACAATCTCCAATAAACCTGGTCGATCTTATTCTTGCCAAGCTAGCAGCCATTGCCCTGTCCTAGGCTGGGCATAATTTTGGTATGTGTTGAAGTAATTGAGGAGCTATAAGTTTCAAGAGACAAGAACATAGAGCTTGCTCTTTCTTGAACAATATACCACGTCACAGATCATCCAGATGCCCCATATGGAGTCGCTCCTAAGATGCGAGGTTTATATTCATTCTCTCTCTCTCTCTTGCTCTCCAAAAAACCTAAGCAGTCTGAAACCTCCTACTTCTTGTAGATGGGGTTTGCCTGCCCCAAAGCATCTGCATTAAAGTGGGAGAGTCATCCCAACCTTCCTGGGGCACAAATGATGGGCAGTGCTGATGGCCAGTCATAACCTCATTACTTAATTTGAGGTGGGCTCAAAGGAAGGGCCTCTCTCTGTTTTTCAGTAACATTATTAACCAGCAAGTGCTCATATTGAGGACCAAGATTACTCATTGTTATCTTCTAGGCACTGCAGATTCCATTTGTTATGATCAAATGAAATTTATCTTTCTGGAAAGAGGCACACAGCAAGCTCTTATGACCTACTTGATCAAGATAGTTAACATTCAATTTATAACAATCTTTTTTCCCAAGAGAGAGGGGAAAAAATCATTCTATGATGATTGTCAGGAGGCAATGCTTATAATGGAAAATTTGACCACAGGGACTCTGGGACATACACTTGTTTAAATCTGCACTTCTCCAGAGTCTCTGAGAGCTAGAGAGAGTTTGGGGATTATTATTTAGACCCCAATCATTCCTGCTGTCCTCTTGTCCCCCACTATAGTCATCAGGGAATAACATTCCTGGGGTCGCCATTCTGCCCTGTTGTAGGTTTTCCCGGGAACAATCCTATTCATGTCCCTTTTCCTCTTCCCAGGTACCAACTCAGGACACGGTAGGGGAGACGATCTCTGTCAGCCAGAGGCCAGCCTTCTCTGAGCCTGCTGGGGAGGAGTCCACAGGTACTGGGACCATAGCGGATTCCTTCTCCAACCTAGGAGGCATCGATGATGAAAATGCACCCTTGGGCCATCTGGAGCCCCAAGATGAAGGGCCTACAGCTCAAGGCCTACAGCATGAAGAAAACCAGGAAGAGGAAGATGACCTACCTGCGTGTTCCTGGGAAGACCCAGGCCATGAGCTGAGTGTCCCCAAGGCCACGGATGCAGACATGTCTCCCTGCGAACTGTCAGCCTGTTCCCCCCAGGGGGGCAGCACTGACCCCTGTGATCCTGAGGGTCTCTCTGGTGCTTCCCCTGAACCCATAAACTCCATCTCTACCCTAGGAACTGTAAGCCCTGGGCTGGTAGGTGGAGAAGGAATATATGAGATGGAGCATCTTGAAGCAGGTGACCAAGAGGCAGGTGGACCCCCAGGCTCTCCTGTTGGTGCCTCAGAGGGTGAATATTTGCCTCAAGAAATATTCCCCAGGGACTTCGTATTGGAGGAGGCTCAAAGCCAAGTGTCTGACTTATGGTATCCTGATTATGAGACATTGGGTGACCTTTTCCAAAAAGGGGCATCTGAGTCTCCACAGCCTGCAAGTGAAAGCAGCGTAAGTGGGGATTCGGCCGTGCCCCCTCTTCCTCTCCTTACTTTCACCTGGAACAGTGAGGACAGTGAATGTGCCTCTGGGGAAAATGACACCTGGGTAGAGAATTTCACCTCCACATTGGCCTCCATAGTGCAGCCTGGCCAGGAGGGGCTGTGCCCCATCCTCGTAGGAGGACACGAGGGCGGCCAACCTCTGACTCCTGAGGACAGCTCCTCTGTGTTGTTAGAAGGAGGTGACAGCAGTCCCTGCAGCAGTGCCCCGGACACTGTAGACACACCTGCCAGTCAGAGTCCAACTGGGGTGTTTCCTGAGGAGACGCCAACACCATTTACTGCTGATCTAGAGCGTGTTCCGGTGACCAGGGAGAGCAGAGACACATCAACTGTTATCATCGCCACCAAAGTTCCCCTGGCCAGGTACCTCCCGCTTTCCATCTCTTGGGACAGCCACGCAGATGGCCCCGAGGAGCCCGCATGTGAGACTGCAGGTGAAGATGGCTCCCAGCTTCCTCCCAGTGTGCAGTTGGGGCTCATTTTAAATGATGCCATCACCGAGTCCACAGAAGAACAAGTTTGCATGGCTGACACTGGGCCAGGAGCCCATGTCCATGTACCCCAACTCCCAGAGGGGGAACCCCCTCTCCAAAGTGGTAGCCAGGTTGGAGATAAGAGCCAGGTGGATGAAGCAGATGGCAGCAGCCTTGAGGAGAATTTCCACGAAGACGGAAATGAGACAACGCAGGAGGTCCAGCAGGAGGGTCTGCCCCGCCAGGGTTCTGTTTCTAAAGACGACCTCCAAGAAAGTTTGCTCATGACATCTGCTGCACAAGAGGAAATGAGCCTGGAGCCGGTGCCAAGCTCACCAGCAAGCTCCAGAGAGGACAGTGGGCAGAGCTCCCGCCTGGGGACTACAGAAGATGATAGGCAGGTGCTGAGTACCATCCCACTGCTCTCGAACATTCTCCTGGAGGAGGCTAAAGAGTTTGGACCAGAATACTGGGGAGCAGGCAGCAAGCTGAAGATTATAACTCTAGAGGCTTCCATTTCAGAAATCTGGTCGCCCAGGGAATGGACTGATTCTGAGTGCCAGGAGTCAGAAGCTGGTCCCACGACTCCTGACAGATCCTGGGATGTATCTGATGTTTTACAGGCAGATGCTGCCTCACCTGAGCCAGACCTCTCTGAAACAGCAGCATGGGCTCACAGTGCTCAGCCTGAGGCTGGCTCAGCCCTGGCTGAAAACAGAGACCTCATCCTTGAAGATGAAGAACGAGCCATCAGCGCACAGTGGAGTATTCCCTCCTCCCCGTCTCTGAGCCACCCTGGAGTCCTGGAGTCATCTGTGGACCCCGTCAATGAAAAGGAATTAGGTGTCACAGACGTGATCTCAGAGGCGTCTGAAACAGGAGGGAAGGAACATGTTAACAATCGAAGTCAAAACCAAGAGCACCAAGAAGGATCACCCGTGGAGGATCACCCAGCCTTCTTTAAACAGTTTCTGGCCTGCCCTGAAATCCTAGAGTCCTCAGTAGATCCAATTAATGAGACAGGGGTGGTGGAGTGGGCCAGGGCTGGAACACCAGAGCCTTGTGAATCCACACTGGGGCTCAGCAGAGGGCAGAGAAAATCAGATGATGTAAACCTGGGCCAACGAGTGGAAATTCAACCCACCATCTTGCAAGCTCTGTGCCCCCAGGAAAGTGGGGAAGCTACTCCAAGTAGCTTCTGGAACCAAGAATACAAAGCAAATGTGCAAGTCCAGGCTGCCATTTTCCAAGTCCCGTGTCCCCAGGAAGATGGGGGAACAGAGTCGAGCAGAGGCGGCAGTGGCCAGATTCAAGATGGCAGTGGGAGGAGCTCCGGGGAGGCTGAACAGAGTGACAATGACAGGGCAGGACTTGTCTCCCCCAGTTTACCTTTGTCAATGACTCATTCATTGTTTGGAGTTGATTCTCACAACTCCATGGGTCAGATTCATAATGTCTCTGAGAATGACTTAGAGGAGGCCAGAATCCATCAATATGCCTTTTCTGACCCAAAGCTAAGGGGAACTCTTGAGAACGAGCGATGGGAACATCCACCCACTTCTGGTGGTCTTACTCAGCCGCCTTGTGCTTCATCTCTTGAAGGAAACATTACAGACTTTTCAGTAAGCCACAAAATTGAGGAACCTAAAGTAGAGGAGCCCCAAATTGGGGAAACCAAACCCACAAGAGCATCTGGCTCCCCGGCATTGACTTTGGCATTGATCTCAGGAGAAGATGCATCAGAGAACGCTCCTGAGATACTGCAGGGCCCCTGTGCCCAGGACTCCCCACTGGGCAGTGGGACCAGGGAGCTGAGCCCCATGGAAGCCCAGCCTGGCAGATGCACTGAGACCCCCCCAACACTGCCAGGGTTGGAGGTGGTCAGGAAGAAGCCAGAAACCTCAGGAAGTGGACATTTAGCTGAGGGAATAAAGAAGAAAATTCTGTCCAGGGTGGCAGCTCTGAGACAGAGATTGGAGGAAAAGGAAAATGTCAGAAAGAACACGGGCTTTCTTAAAAAGACTCCAAAGACTCCTCAACGCGAAACCTCGGGATCACACACAGATGAGAAAAAAGACCTCAAGAAGCCACCTTGCCAAAGAGGAGGAAAAGGTGAGCCTCGCGCTTTCTGTCCTTGCTAAAGTTTGGTCTGTGTGACCAGATGTCAAGTTCCAGTGTCCCCCCGAGTCCTTTGTAATGAGATGAGTGTCCATCAGGGGGTCCTCAGACTTTAGGGGACCTCAGAATCACCCGGAGGGCTTGTTCAACCCCCAGATCCCTGGGCCTCACCCCCAGAGCTTCTGATTTAACTCATGGGCTTGAAAATTTGCATTTCTAGCAAGTTCTCTGGGGATCTCGGGGGAGAAATACTATCGGTGCCTGAAGATCTGTTTAGTTGAGGGCATGTGATCAAGATACCTTTCTGTTTCAGTATCTTTTCTAGAAATATTTTAAAAGGATAAATAGAAGTATTCATCAGTGTAGCTAATCAGTATAATTAAACAGACCACACGCTAAGCAGAAATAACAGATACACATTTAGGTCCAATTTGGCATTCTCATCGCTCATCATTGATCTCCATTCAGGCTGGCTTACTGGAACGGCCGGTTTTCTTTCAAATTTGAGTGTAACACTTTTCAGCTCGCCCTGCCCTGCAGCTGAGCCTGAGGTCCCCTGGGGCTCAGCTCCAGCTTTCAGACCCTGTGAAGCTCAGAACCCTGGTAACTGCAGCCACTTCTCCTTTGCACAGGGACTCGCATTGAACCCCCATTCCTTCCCATACCCCTAATTTTAGCCCCTTTTATCTCAGTGCTCTGCTTTCCCGCCCCATGCAATCCGGGGGTGGGGGTAGAAGCAGGAAGAGAAAATGCTGCAGCCGGGAAGTGGCCCTCCCTGGCCCGGAGGAGAGACTGCCCTCCTCCCGAGTTCGCAGACCTGGAGGCTGGTGCTTGCTCTTGCCCAGCTGCATCTAATAGGCTCCTCGACAAAGACAAAACTGCCTTTTGCAGAGTTCAGAGGTAGCTCCCGGGTTATTAGGAGCGATGTTTTGAAACATATTTGAAGAGGAAGGCAGCATTTGGAAAGCTCTCCAGGGCCTCGAGGGAGGCAATGTGGAATTCCTGCCCACGGTTCTTTCAGATGCCCAAGGGCAGGGGAGGGGACGACTCCACCAGGAGCTGGGGAGACTGGGGTCCTAGCCCCATCACCTCGGGGGTCAGAGTTGGGGGAGGCGATGAGCCTTGGGTGAAGATAGAGGAAATAAAACCCTTGGAGCAAGGCGGACATGCAGAGCTTGCTACCATGGAAGCTTCACACTCACCAGCGGCTCCTTTCCTGTTTCCTCGGCCTCGGCGGGCATGTGTTCAGAAGGTGCAGCTGCCCACCCAGGCTCCTCGTAGCTCCGTCAGCTGCGTTCCTACCTCTGCCCCACATAAACAGGGCTCCTTCCCAGAACCCTGAGGCCTCTCGTGCAAGTCAGCTTCATCTCCCTCAAAGGCCCTCATTTGCTTCTGCTGCCCATTTTATGCCCTTCCCGCTGCCCCCATTTTTGTCTCTGTTCAGAATTTACCATGGCCTGTGGGTGGGGCTGTCGGCCTTAGGAACATTATGCCCAAGCACCATGAAGATGGCTGCCACTCCATGATGGAGGGTCCAGTATGTCCCAGATGAGGGGGTGGCCTTGGTCAGGATGGCGACCAAGGGTTAAGATGGTGGGCCTGAAACCTGGCACAGCCAGTAGGACCCATTTGGGCCAATTGAACCCAAATGGCTTTGCCACTAATAAGCACCCAGTCTGTTTTCTTCTCTATTATGCTCTTGGTCCCCAGTGTCTGCAGTAACCAGCGGCTCTCTAGTCCAACAGTTTGTAACTCAAACATTCTCACTTCCTGGGAGAAGCTTTTGAATATGAATTCTGTTACTGTGTGTCTGCTGGCGCCAAGGGGAGAAGGGAGTTTCACAGATATTTCTCAGTGGTGGAGTTTGAGGCAACAGTGTCAGTATCAGTGACGTTGGCTTGGCTGTTGTCACCACACTTTTTTTTTTTGAAACTGTGGTGACGGCACTTGGCCAGCAATGGATGGACAGCACCGCTCCAAGTAGCCAGGCTGGGGAGTCCACCTTGCCTGGGTCCAATGTCAGTGCTGCAGCTTGCTGGCTGCCCCACGCAATGACACATTTGGCCGGCATGCTAAATTTTCATGATTTTTAAAAAGGCAATATTCAAGGATGTAAACTCAAGCCCTGGGAATTGTTTTCTTATTGCTCCCCTTTCACCCAAGTAGACACTCCCCTTTTGCTAATGAAATCGCTATCAGAGGTCTCTGTCATCCACTAGGATGACTTCAGCAAAGACAACTGTGAAAGGGTGAGGGGGAGATGGAGGAATGTTCTTCGGAAGAAAACTGATTGCTAGATTGCTCTTTTCATGCAGGGGCTTAACCACAGTTACTTGGATGATCCAGATTTTATTCTACCCCCTAATCTTCAGTTTTGATTTTGATCTGGATCATCTAGTGATGATTTGAAAATATCTTTATGACCCAGGTCCTACACTCCCTGACCCCCAACTTTACAAAAATGTTTCTCAAGTTTTATTTCATTTTATGTATCACACACCTCACTTAAGGAATTGTAAGTAATGATAACTGAGAGATTTTTTAAATTAGATTTGTTCTTTTTTTTTGCTGTTTAGGCAAGCTACAATCCCCTCAGGAACTCAGCTTCCTCATCCATAAATTGAGGGCAAAATTATTATTATGCCTGTCCTTGGATTTCCTGGGATTGTTGCAAGAATTAAATGAGATGAAATGGGGAATCCCTTTGTCCACTCTGGTAAAATTCTCTTATGAAGTTGTGCAGCCATCCCAGACTGGACAGGTTCACTGTGGATTCGGGCAGACAAAAAGAGAATTTTGGAGTCTTAGGTATTCTCTAACATGACTTTAATGTTGAATCAGAGGGCTGGACTCAGAGGCAGACCAGCAGGCAGGGAGACAGGCAGACAAAAACTGAACCCCTCACCCCACGAATCTATCCTTTTATGGCCCTACTCCTCAGCCCAGGTGTCTATATTTACATACGTGCATGGCCCAGCATGCTCCTGGCTCCTCTGCCCAAGTGTCCATAATCAAAGGCATGCGTGCCCTGTGCTCACACGCCCAAGCGCTTTTTGCATCAGTATAATATGTGTGTGGGAAAAAAATATATCATGTGTGGGTAATGCTACCTGGGAAGAAAGCAAGGCAATAGATGGCAGCTAGAGAGGCAGCAGGAGGCAAAAATGCTGAGTGCACCACGTTCCCTACAAAGTTCCTTGCAACTATTACAAAACACTGACTTGCAGCTTTCTTGTTTCTAGCTCCTGTATTACTGAAAAAGATCCAAGCAGAGATGTTCCCTGACCACTCTGGAAATATAAAATTAAGCTGCCAGTTTGCAGAAATTCATGAAGATTCTACTATCTGGTGGACAAGAGATTCAAAGTCAATCTCCCAAGTGCAGAGAAGGTGCGCTCTTTGCTCCTGGTGACTTTTCACACGTGCTGCTTGTTTATTTCACAACTTCTAAAGAACAGTTCTAAAGGAAAACAGTAAATTATAGGAAGTAAAAAGGGAAATTGAAGCAGAAATTCCATATCCAAAGTATCCAAGAAGAGTAAGTAATGGGATCACAGATATCTAGATGTCTGGATGGGGAAAATGGCGGCAGGGTCTTGCCTGGCTCTGCCACCATCGAGTCCTGTGGCCTTAGGAAGCCATGACGCCTTTCACACTTTTTTTTTTTTTAAAGATTTATTTATTTATGCATACAAGAGCTGAGGTACAGGCCAGAGATGCAGGGAGTGGAGAGGATTCACCAGAGACAGAGTTGGGAACAGAACAGGCAGATTGACCGAAGCACACTGCTGAGGGGAGCAGTGGGCGAGACAGGAGAGGTCTGCTGCACCATGTGGATTGCTCCCTGGCTGGCTGGGGATCGAACTCGTGCTGCAGAGGCTGTGGATTTCTTCATAGTGCAGTGCTTAACCCTTAGCGCCACCAGAGAGGCCCTTTTCACACATATTTTAAAATCAGGAGAACTTGTTACATTATCTTCTAGTTTGAGGCCCTGTCATCCCAAGAACAAGGAATCGCCTCTGTGTGTCTGTGAATTTTCCTGTGTGTTCAGTTTCATCAATTCCTGTTAATCTGGCTTCCAAACTGAATGGAAACCCCTCCTGGGGCTTCCTGGGGTGGGTGCTCTATAATGGGATCTTTTGAAAAGTCCCCAGGTTAGATCCCTCTCCCTCCAGCTACCTGAGTTCCTGGCAGTCACTCTGATCCCTCTGTGGCATAGCTTCCTTTGAGCCTAAGGGCAAGAACTGAGCCTGTTTTATTTCCTCATTGACTCCCCCAGCACTGGGCACACAGCACCTAACCCCTCTGATGGTTCATGACCCATCACCAGACCGGCCCCTTTGCTAAGGTGCCCTGTGCCTGTTGCCAGTTACTCTTTGCCAGGTATCTGGTTGGTGATCTTGCTTCTCCTCCAGAAGAGGAAACCAGGAGTGAGAGGCCTTTAATTAAAACAAGACTGAGGTTGGCCTTGGGATTTGAATCCAAGTCTTTCTGACTCCTAAGTGATTTCTTCCAGAAGAATGTCTTGGGGAGAGTGATGGCCAAGACAGAGAAAGGCCTCCAAATTTCCTAGCCAAGTATCAGAGAATTCCTGGGTGATGGTCACACAACAATTCTAATTGAGTCTCCAGCCTTTCTGGTGGATCTCCACTGCCCCTTTTGGAAACAGGAGCTGATGTTGATCAAGAGGTTACTAGAGAGGGACATTGTTCCAGCCCCTCTGTGGCTCTCTCAGCGTTCTGCAGCCCTGCCAGGAAATCTTCCCTCATGGTCCACTTTCAACCATGCATTCAGGGAATGCTTGGCGGCCCCATCAGTGGAAGAAGAATTGTGATCTAGTGAACCTTGTTTTAAGTCACTGGAACATTCCAGAAAGGACATGTTTAAATCAGAGACTTGAAGGCTATTGAAATGCCAACCAATAATGAACATTTTTTTTTAAAGATTTATTTAGTTATGCATGCAAGAACTGGGGTACAGGCCAGAGGTGTGGGGGGTAAGAGGATTCGCTAGAGACAGAGTGGGGAATAAAACAGGCAGATGTACTGAAATACACTGCTGAAGGGAGCAGTGGGTAAATCAGGAGAGTCTGCTACGCTGTGGGCTCCTCCCTGGCTGGCCGGGGATCGAACTCATGCTGCAGTAGCTGTGGACAGCTTCATAGGTTGCATCTTAACCCCTTGCGCCACCAGGGAGGCCCAGTAATGAGCACTTTTGCTGAATGTGCAACTGAGACAAAACTCAAGATAAACAGATTTTGTTGTTAAATTGCGAAATGAGCCAAAACTGAAACACTCACTGTGCACAAACAGCCCTGCTGAATGTTTAAACAAAATTTATTATCTAGAACAAAACTAGAAGAGCATCTGAATATCATTTGGTGGCTGCAAAGTAAGCTTTTTTGTTTGAGACTTTGGAGTAAAGATTGTGGCGACTTCCATCATGATGCCCTTAGATTTGAGGGCCCCAATCTCAGTTCATTTGGGGAGAAGTTTAATGGGGTCCTGATGAGGGCTCCTTTTGTGGTTTAAATTCTAGCTCTACCCTCATCAGCTGAGGACCTCAGGTCATTTGCTTAGTCTTACTATGTGCCTCAGTTTTCTTATGGGAATAGTCATCATATTTCTCTCATTAGTTTGCTCTGAGGATGTCATGAAATAGACTAAGTGATAAGCATAAGGCCTGTTATGCTTCAACAGGGTTTCTACTAAGTGATCAGTATACATTAACTGACATCATCATCATCACCACCCCCACTATACCACCACCACCACCATCATCAACAAGAATACAACTGCCACTAATACCACCAACACTACCACCACCATCATCAAGAACACCATCGACACTAATAACTCCAATACTAACACCACCACCACTCCTACCACCATTACTGGCTTCTCTTCATAGCAAATGCTTCATAGCAAACTTAATAATATTGGTGGGTTTTAGATGGTATTTACTAGTAGAATGCACTGTTTCAAGGAACCCTCACTCATGAGCCCTAATATCCAACAAACACCCTCTTTCCTTGACCCTTATTGTGTCTGTGTTTCGATTTGAATTTTGAGTTTTCAGTTTCCTTCAAGCAAGGACACCTGGATTAGTAACATAACGGAGGTGGTTTCTAAGCAGACATGTCAACAACAGCCCCCACAATTCACATTTCTAGTTCTTTACTAATGGCAGTTCAAGCTCCTCAATGTTTCTGTGCATTAATATTGCAGTGAGTGTGTTAAACCAAAAATGTACTCACCACCTGCTGTAGAGAAGTAAATTATTTAAACAGCTTATCATGATCGCCTCCTTTAGCCAGCCCATTGGCTGGAACCATCAGGCAGAGAAGCTTTAGTTTCTTCCTCCTTAAGTGTGTTAGAAAAATGCAACTTCAGAATGACGTAGCAGCAAATGTTAATGTCCCCCATTGCAGCGCAGGAGACAATTCCACTGTGTCCTTGGCTATCGTTCAAGCTAGTCCGAAGGACCAGGGCCTCTATTATTGCTGCATCAAGAACAGTTATGGAAAAGTGTCTGCCGAATTTAACCTCACCGCTGAAGGTAAACCTCAGCTTTTCAGTTTCGAATGAAAACCACTAGCCCCTATCCATTCAGAGCGTTCGTTTGTACTGAAGACATTCTCTTCTTTGTCTTCTTCTAGTTCTCAGACAGCTTTCAAGTCACCAGGAGACAAAAGGTAAGCCACTCTGAGCTGGAAGTCGGAGGAAGTGGGCGTTCGGTAATTTACAGCATGGACTAGGGCCTGCAGTCCAGGCAGAAGCAGCATTCCCAGGGCTTCTAATGAGTAGGAAAGAGCTCAGGAGGGATGAATAACACATCAGGAGGCATTTCAACATGGCTGTAAGTGCTCTGGGTTAGGAATTTGCAGGGGTGTGTTACTATGAACGTGATCAGACCAGTGTGCTGTTGTTGGGAGCACGTGGGATTTGGGGGGTGAGACTTCTGCCTTGAAGTATCAGCCTTGCAGTCAACCCATCCCTGTGGGTTTTCTCAGCCTTGGGCACTTACACAGCACGTTCCTTTTCTTCCGTTTACTTCCCACTTTGACTAGCTGAGCAGATCCCCAAAGATCTCCTCCCAGGCCTCCGGGAGGAGAGCGTCATTCACTTGCATCTTAATGAATATAAAAGCTGGGTTTCCGCACTTGCCTTTGCACAGTGCACACGGGTGCAGCGACAGCCTGGCAGCTGCTTCTAAGCATGGGGTCCCTGGGCCACCTGCTGAGTACAGTTTAGTTGAGTCGATGCTTGCCAGGTATTTCTTCTTAGGGAAAGGAAACCTACACACATGCTTATCCCCTCCCACTGGTGCACTGGCAAACTTTTGACACCAGGCCTGGAGGGTGGGGAGACCCTGATTTGTAGTTTTCCAATTCCTGTGGTGTAAAGGAGCTCACCAAAGGCCAATTTTAAATTGTGAAAGTGACACACACGACGGGGGTAGAGTCGCCCACCACCAGGACTTAGACAGACTCTTCTGCAGCCCCAGCTGTTGATCTCAAACAATGAGCAATCAATTGCTCCATCAACAAAATAGGTTTATTTGGAGCAACAACAGAGACCATTTGCTAAGTGCAGGGTCAAGGTGAGACTCAGAGGTGCTTCTATTAATCAAAGGCCAGCACCCCCTTAAGTAAAGGGGTGGACTACTTGGTAAAGATGCCTCCTCCTTGCTTCCACAGGGCCAGGCAGCAAGGTCCCTCCCCTGGGCGATGCGAGCACCTGGGGCCTGCAGTCTGCTGAGTGTACATGCACGCACGCTCTTCCCAACTCCCGCCTGCCCACCTCACTTCAACAGGGTTTCTGCGTATTAATTTTCACACATCTAGCCCCCGTGTTGCCACAGCTTTTTGCACAGTATAGGACCTTTGGTCAGTTTTAGGAGCATTGTGAATAAAACCCTGAAAAGTAAATCGGTTTAGCATCTTAAAGATGTATCGAATAGGCTGATTTTTAAAGCAAACAAACACCCAGATCTCTGGGAAAACAAAAACAATCAGGAAGCAACAACATCCAGACACTAAAGGCAAGAAACCAGGACCTGCACTTAGAAAAGATGGAGCAAATACTGAAGTATTTATCCCAGGAAACACTTAAAAGCAAACTCTTCACAAACCTATTCAATACTCAATGCCTGCGTTCAGTTGCAGTGTAACCAGGGCAGGGTTTAAAGTCCTTCCCCTATTTCTGCCTTCATTCCCCCAGAAGTCAAAATCTGCAACATAATATCCCTCCTTCTGATACCAGAAAACAGAGCAACTTTCAGAAGAAGGCTGTGTCCCTTTCATGAGCTCCTTAGCACTGCTTGGTCCTTCTGTCTCAGAGGCTTGCTGTGACCTCCTGCATGTAGCTTTGCAGAATTTCATTTTTTTTCCAAGTTTTTTACCAGTCAGGAATGAACCCCTGAAAAACCACTGCTCATCTGGTGGAAAATATTACCACTCCTGTAACCCAGTGGAGTTTGGGTCTAGACCCTGCCAAGAACAGCTTCTCCCAATCTCTGACCCCTTGGGCCTAGGGGTACAGTTGTAATGACTTACCAGATTGGGGGGCCATGCCTGTCCTCTACCTACTCTTGTATTTGAGATGAAGCTTCAAATGACTTCTTTAGCATCATTTTAATTTGGAGCCATCTCTTTCATGAAACATTTTATTCACTTAATTCTCTACAGGAGGAATAAATAACATTTGATAAGATGGTCTCTAAGACTAAGCTTGTGGGAAAATCCCAAGTGAATGAGGATTCAAATGGAACATAAGCGAGTGCAGGGTGATGACAGCACAGAAGGAAACATCCTAAGATTTTCAAGAAAAAGTCCTAAGATTTCATTTTTTATCTTTTGGTTTCATCGTGTTAAGCAAACTTTTCTATTGGAAATGACAGTTTTTGTTAATTATATCATATATGGTGCTGTGCAAAAAAAAAATTCCTTTTCTGTTTCTACACATATAACCTGGAACAACTTTCATCTTTAGTTAATTACATTTTATGAATTTTAAAGCATAAAGTGCGCAAATTTCTTACTTGTAAGAATTATTGAATTTTAGAAATTTTTGGATTTTGAAATAGAACAGATGGTGGTAAATTTAGCTCCTATTTATGGGGTTCTAGTACAGATACGTGAAACATTTCCTGTATTCTTTAAGGATCCTGAAGGCCAAATTGTCAAAAATAAAACAAATCCTCTAATAAATTGAGATTGGAGCTCTATTAAAACTTCCCTCTGCATTTTGTTGTCTTATTATAAATTTTAACATAAAAATATACTCCCCATTAAAAAAATCCTGGTTTTATAACTTAGGATGAAACCATGATATAACACTCTTCTTTAAATTTCTCTAAGAAAGTTGTCTCATTTGCCTCCCTGCCTTTCTGCTTTACCCCTCCCCTCCCTAGGACAGCTTGCCTAGGGTGCCCTCCGCCAGCCTTTGCGAAACTTGTGCAGCATTTTTCTAGATGCTTCCTTCACATCTGTACCTGGTAGCTCTTCACCTACCTTTTCTATTTGAAACCAAAACTCACCCCTCTGGTCCTTTCTTTCTGGCAATAACTAGACCTAGATGTTATCAATACACTTTAGAAGCATCTCAGTCTCCTTAGATTTAACAACTGGCATCAGTCATTGGCTGCTCTTCAAACTCACGATCTGAAACTATTTTGTTAAAGAAGAAACCGTCTAAGAAGATATGTGAAGTGAGATTTGCACATGACCTGTGATTTCTTTCTTTCTTTAAACAACCAGAAAGATGTCACTTTTCATTGATTTTGAAGAGAGCAGAGGGCATTTTGAAAAATAGAAATATTCTTATTTCACTAAAAGTCATCTCCTTTCTCACAGCCAGTTGCAAAGCTGACTCGGTCATCATCATCTGAAATGTCTGTAGTAGAATCAACTCAGAAAAATAGCTGCTAGAAAACTCAGAAAACAATCCTACTGTTTTTTTACACACAAATCAAAGCTAATTCTACTAAAAAAAAAAATTCCCCAGGGAAGTTCTTTTTCACTTATTCCATTTTGTACCCATTTTATCTCTATCACAGGCATTCTCAACTGCGGTGGTTATCACCCCCAAGAGAGCAAAAACTGGTGTATAAAGCACCAACACACACATACACAGACACTTGTACAGTGCCTCTATGGTGTTACAACTTCGTGGGGGGCAATCTGGGGAAAAAAGGCTAAAAATCATCTTTCATGAAGGCGGGAGGCACTAATGAGAAAAAGATAAAAAACATGAATCTATTAGTTTATCACTGGGCTTCCCTTCCTGTTCTACACTTCACCCCTTTGCACCTGGGCTTTAGTTACCTTTCACGCTTCTGCTTCTATGTTCCAACCACGTCTAACATTCTTTTCCTGGCCTCCCACCTCTCCCCTGCAATCTGCTCCCCTGTCATCTGAGCCCCTGAGCCTCCCAGGGGACCCCTCCCCACAGCTCCTCAAGTCTCCCTCCACCACCTCACCTGGGCGCCAGGTTCACGGTCAACCTGGCGATGGTCGCAGGCGGGCAGGGGGGCATGCGAGTCAGCCAAGGAGCAGGATTGGGGGAGAGTGTGTCCCACCGAAGTTGTGCTGTGTTTCAGGCTGTGAGGAGATTGAGTTCAGCCAGCTCATCTTCAGAGAAGACTTCCTCAGCGACAGCTACTTCGGGGATCACCTGCGCGGTCAGATTGCCACAGAGGCGCTGCACTTCGGGGAGGGGGTGCACCGCAAGGCCTTCCGCAGCCGGGTGATGCAGGGCCTCCTGCCCATCTTCCAGCCGGGGCACGCCTGCGTGCTCAAGGTGCACAACGCCGTGGCCTACGGGACCAGGAACAACGACGAGCTCGTCCAGAGGAACTACAAGCTCGCAGCCCAGGTGGGCCCACCTGCCCTAGAGTCGCCAGGTGGGAGAGGAACTCGCAGGATGACTGGAGTTGCAAATCAGGCTCAGAATGGTTGGGGGGCTGTCTCCAGGAAGGTGGTGTTCTCCCTCCCGGGTGTGGTTATTATAAGGAGTCACTGGATTATGGCTGCATGCTGGGGGGGGGGGGGGGAGTCACCGCTCAGTTCCCAGGAGCAATTTCTTAGCCTCATGTCAGTCAGCAGGGCCTCAGCCAGTGGCTGGACACCCGGCCAGTTCTGCCCTGGGCTGGGATCACTTCTGTCCCAGGAAGCCCTGGGAGCTCCCTGGAGGCTTTAATCTACTTAGATACAGGATGTTAGGGAAGGTGGGAGGGGGGTTGTAAGCTCCAGGGGTGCCAGAATTCCAGGGGCCGGCAAGGACAGCTCAAATCAGGATCCCTTTCTGTAGTGTGTTGCTTTTGTCTGCTTTACGGAGGAGGAAGGGACAGGGTATATTCAGCGTGATCGGCCTTTGTCCTGGTGCCCTCCTTCCTGAGTTTGGTTCACGGTCAGCTGGGAAGCTCTGGAGGGCAGTTGGCCCCAGGCTCTAGCTGAGTCCCCACAGTGGGATGTGATCGCGTTGAGGCAGGAGGTTAGTTCTCTTCACTCTCGAGACCAGGCCTGGTAAGCTCTCAGCAAAGCTGGGGCTACTTCTTTCATAAACCAGGTACCCTTTTAAAATTTGTACCGATAAAATGAATAGATTAGATCTAGGAAAATCGCTGGGGTGCTATCATGTATCCTTGATTCTCTCAGATGTGGTGATGTCGCGGGGACTCAGGAAGGTACCCCCTTACTGACAACAGGATTTTGTCTATTATAATCCTTTCTTCTCCAAACCCACCCTTCTTTTTTCTTTTCCTTTGTGGAGCATTCCTTCCATCTTACATGTCCTCATGTAAGATGAGGACAGCATCTAAACTTCCACCTAGAGAGGGCCGACAGAGAGAAGAGCATAATTCATTTCACTTTTTTTAAAGACAAAACCCTGGTCCCTGTGTTCACTATTCTCCACTTGAATGACACCTTTGAGGAAGAACTTCAGATGGGAGAGTTTCATGGGAACTTTACCCAACATCGGCTGAGAAACCAGTTCCCTTATTTCAAGGTTAACTTCAACAATGTAGGTTCTAGAAATTCCAAAGTTCAGGATCACCTGGTCCCAGAGACCACTTGCCCTTTGCCTAGGTAGTTCCTTCATTTCTCAGAGCTCCTTGTGAACGGCCAAGTCTAGGTTGCAACGATTTTGCTTCTGTGCCTGGAAAAAAAGGGGCTTGGGAATCTGTTGGCTTGGCTTAGATTAGGAAATGTAACTAGCTTTCCCTGGTAACTCTCAGACTTTTTGCTGACCACCTGGGTTTCCTGTGTCTCTGGGTGATACAGGAATGCTATGTTCAAAATACTGCCAGATACTATGCCAAGATCTACGCCGCTGAAGCACAGCCTCTGGAAGGCTTCGGAGAAGTGCCGGAGTGAGTGTGTTTGTCTCGTCTTGTCTTTCCACCTCTGACTTGTTGGGGACTTGGAGGGTAAAGGTGGGGGGCAAGGGGAGGGGGGGGAGGTCCAGTAGGACATGCATTTCATTTGGTCTCTCTGTCTGTGCTCTCCTCAAGGGCACACACATCTGCTAATCCTGCTCCCCACTGGATGGCCAGCAGCTTGCAGAAAGACACTTGATAAATATTCTTTAGACAAGTGTCTGTGAGCATGCCTCCAGGGAGAGATGGATTCAGCAAATACACATACCATGTTAAACAGAAAAGAAATGGTGTCTGCATTGACTATTATAGTGTCTGAATAAGCAAATACAAGGAAAGAACCAAGAATATCACAAAATGATTAGTCCTGTAAAGAGAATAAAATGGGGTGCTGTCAGAGAAGAACGGGTTGGGTGGTCAGGAATCTAGGGGCATGGTACCCACCGCCTGGAATCCTGCAGAGATGAATTGCTGGTTCCTTTTATTCATTCATTGACTATATATTAACCCCTGAAAATTTCTGGCTGTCTGGAGCTGGTGTTTAGTGGTCTGTTTGTCTGGTCGCCATCATGCGTGCCTGCATAAGGGGAAAGAGAAAGGCTGTGCCCTGCACGCTGGGAACGTCAAACAGAGCCGTGACTTACACGTCAGTGAAGACAGAGCTGGGTGGGAGCACGCTCGTCCACACTGGCCCTGTTAACTCACAAAATGGGCGGCGGGGGGGACATCCCTCCTCCTAAGGCATTTAGAATCTAATACTTCTTGCTTTTTACCAGGAAATGTTTAACGTGCTTATTTAGTGCATATTTCTGGGCAACTCCAAAAAACAACATAATGCAGAGAAAATGACAACGGTCTTTCTGTCAAACACCCAAGGCAGCAATCTGGACGGACCCTGGTTCACGTTACGAGAGCTCGCCTCTCCCTTGCTCCCCCAGTCCCCTCTGTCCAGCTCCCGTCCCTTCACCCTCTTCTGGAGGAGGCCAAGGGCCGCTCTGCACCAGCCCAGCGCAGGAACCACAGCCCTCCGCAGGGCACACCCAAGATTTGTGCCCAGTTGGGGTCCTTTGAAAGGAAAAGAACGCAAAGTTAGGAGTGTAAAGATGGGCTCGGGGATTGGAAGGGCCTGTGCAGGGAGGGATACGGCTCATCAGAATCCCAGTAAAGGCGCCAAAGGTAGATTGGGACGTTTTGAAGATGACTTTGATTTCTCCTTCTTTACAACAGCGGGACTTGGGGATACGCGAATGAGGGTAGGACATGGAGGGGTGAGGCTCTTCAAAAGCACATCTTTGTCAGATGTCAGCTTCATTGAGCCAAAATCAGAGAATTCTTCACACACACACACGCACACGCACACACACACACACACACACGGTCTTCTAAAAGGGCCTCTGCAGTTAAAACCATGTTAGAAACATGACAGCAGCAGCAGGGCCTTAGAGGAGGGTATATGGGGGTGACTTGAGTGCTCATGGCCCCCAGAGACCTGTCTAGGTCATTGGCTGTGAGCTGGCAGTGAACGCAGGGACGGAGGCAGGCTCACAGGCTGGGAAGGGAAGCTGCCGAGTGGCGCCTGGGCCTCCACTCAGTCACTGGCTTCCCCCACACCCAGCAGCACGGAGATGGAGACGCAGGGCTGGGCATTCAGCTGCCTCAGGCCGGCTCCTCAGAGCACTCCCTCCCCTCTCCCCAGCCGTGCTTCTTTCCAGAAGATGAAGAGCAGACCTGGGAAGGTCTTCATGGAGCCAGTGGGGTGTGGAAGAGTAAACACTCCCCGCTCTGGCAGCTGCTGCTCTCATGAACATGCACTGAGCACATCCATTGTCTATAAATGCGCCTAAGGGCCTAACTCCCCACCCAAATAATGCCCAGCCCTTGTCTCTGGTCTTTGAGGGCTGCAGAATGAAGCAGCCAGGCGCCCGTGTGCCCTCTGTTCTGTGCAGGCTTGGTGGCCAGCAGTCCTCAGGTCCTGGGGAGGGAGTTGCGATTCCTAAATCCTGCAGAATTGGCAGAGCAGGGCAGAGGGGGTTTGGCTCTACAGACTGATTTCAGGGGTGCTGGGAAGGGGCCCTGCCCCATATTGGCTCACCTGCCACCTGGTTGCTATTGAAATTTCTTTAATGAGACCCAAATGCTTTCATCCTGTGATTAGAAGGAAGGGCCAGTGACTCAGCATGACCGGGAACTGGTGTTAGGAGGGGGCCGCTTGGTGTCTCCGAGGATGTTGCTCTGGCCCAGATGCTGCTCTGCAGCAACTAGCCCCTCCAGGTGAGGGTCAAATGCCCCCCGAGTGGGCCTCTCCTGGTGGCGCAGCGGTTGAGTGCTGGGCTGCGAGGCTGCCCGCAGCATCTGCAGCGCCAGTTCGTTTCCCGGCCGCCAGTGAGGGTCCCACAAAAAAAAAAAATGCCCCCGAGTCTTTACTCCCCTCTGAGAATGCCGCGTGTCCATGTTCTCTCTCCACCAGGATCATTCCCATTTTTCTCATCCACCGGCCTGAGAACAACATCCCTTACGCAACCGTGGAGGAGGAACTGATGGGAGAATTTGTGAAGTATTCCATGAGGGACGGGAAGGAAATAAACTTCTTGAGAAGAGAGTCAGAGGCTGGTCAGAAATGCTGTACCTTCCAGCACTGGGTGTACCAGAAAACAAGCGGCTGCCTCCTGGTCACGGACATGCAGGGTGAGGAGGGCGGCCTGGCCCGGGGAGTGCCAGGCCGGGGATGCATCCGGGTGGGAGGGGGCTGCTGGGTGCCTTTAAGCACCTCTATCAGCAGAAGGTGTTGCTAATGTCTCATCAGAAACAAGGTGTGACCAAGGAGCTTGAAATGACCGGCCTGATGGGGCACTAAAGTGTATTTTAATAAAGGGAGCCCATAATGCCTCCCCATTACAGCAGATGACCAGGCTGGCTTTCTTGTTACATCCTCACAGGCACACATCAGCTGTATATGTGAAAATCCAGATGTGCCCAAAGACAATCAAGATGTAATCATTCATTCTTAATGAGCGAAAGAGTCTCTCAGTTGTTTGAGATTCCAAGCTCCCTGTGCATTTACATGTTTTCAATATATGCACACATTTCCAGAACACAGTCACCGTCTGAAGTGGGGTTATCCTAATTAGGTTTCCCACATAGTCAGCCCTGAGTATAAGTTGCCTTCAGGGGGGCTCGAAGACCACCCTCTGTTTCATTAACTTGCTGGAAGGACTCACAGAACTTGTGGTTATGGTCTGTTGTCGTGAAAGAATGCAGACTTAAACTGGCAAGGGGCGGAGGCAAAAGGGGCAGTCTGGAGAGTCCAGGGGAACTTCTAGTTGTCCTGACGGTGCTGACGACCTTCCTGCTGGGAGAAATCTTATTGACGTCACACCCACTGTTGAAATCACCTCTACATTTTCCCGAGTGCTGCAGTGAGGACGAAGAGTCCTCAACAGACTCACAAGTCTCCTGCGTGCAGGTTTGAAGGCCTCTGATTTGGTGAGACACTTGGGAGCCTAAGAAGCTGTCACCCCAAACACCCACCAACTCAAATTCTGCAGCATGAACTCCTAAGGCTGCCTGTGCCCTTCCATCAGAGACACCTGTGGTGCCTGTACCCCCCGGCTCACACGCCGTGCCCTGGAGTTGAGATTTTTCACCTCTCCATACCCCTAATAACCTTGATTGAGTTGCTGGCAAATTATTAAACCAAAAAGAAGTTTCCTTTTAAAATTCTATTTTTCTAAATGGTAAGAGGTCACTGTAGTTGTAAGAAGTCAGAAAAAGCAGTTCTCCAAGTTCGAAGACCTTTAGCCAAATGATTTTTAAAAACCGGGCTTGTGTGCCCTTTAGAGACGTGATTTTTATACGATTTATACAAGATGCCCAAAGAGGGCTTTTGCAGTCCGGTGTCTTTTTCCCCCCCAAGCACAGTCCCTGTAATAAAAGCGACATGAAGCATTTCCACATACGTTCTAGTTGTTAGCAGCTTTGAAGGAATGACATGAGTTACCAACTGTGGAAAAGGCTTTATAATGGCCCCCAGCTCCCCCAACGTGCCGTGTCTAATATGGCTCCCAGGTGCCGTGCAGACAAGCGGGGCTCCCTCGCTGCTTCTGGCCCATGTAGCAACGCCGCCTGTAGTCTTGTCATGCTCCAGGCTGCTGCTGCTGGATCAGAGCATTGACTCCTTAGTGTTCCTTGCCCGAGCCTCAGAAAACAGTCCCCTGGTCAGCAGCGGGGATGGAACGAGGTTGCCATTGGACCTGACCCTCAGGATTGTTGTTGGGGGGTGCTGGTTCCTTTGTCCACAGCCCAGGTGGGCTTCTGTGTTGCCTGCAAGCCAGGCACCTGCAGCAGGGGGAGTCCTGCCATCATAGCCTGGCTAGGTGGGGCAAGAGGGGAGGAGGTGTGGCCCAGACCTGGGGGCGCAGGTCAGACAGGCCAGCTCAGGTCTCTGTTCTATTGTTTGGGTTTTGGTAGCCCCTCCCACACCCCGGGGGTTAATGGATCGAGGTTAGGCTAAGGTCTAAGGCTACATGGTGACAGGGACCCCATGCCTGGCCAGACAGGGCGGTCACTAGGTTGCTTGGGTGAGACTAGGGTGGGGGGTCTTCTGAGTGGGAGCAAGTGCCACAGACACACCCTAGGGAGACAGGGACAGAATTGGTTTCTGCTCTGGCAAGAAGATGTGGAAAGGCCAGACGCCCTGCACAGTCTGGGCCTCGGAGAGGCTCACACTCCCCCAGACCCAGGACGGGTTGAGACCTGGAGTGGGACGGGGGCAGCAGGGGAGAGGACGGCTCATCTCTGCTGTGGATGGTGATGCGATCTTGCCCTTGTGCCCTGAGAGATGGGAGCTTTTCCATGCTCCTTGCACCCCAGGTTCCTTAGTGACTTGCCTCTCTGCTCCTACCGGGGAGGAAGAAACAGACTCCTGTGTGCTGGGATTTCACGAGACCTGTGGCTCTTTACGGAATCACTTTAGGAGGCTCAGGTCTCTGTTGTATTGTTTTGGTTTTGGTAGCCCCTCCCCTGCCCCGGGGTGGGGGTGGGGGCTAATGGATAGAGGTTAGGCTAAGCATCAAAGGCTACACCACAGGTTGACAAATGCCAGCATCTCCAGGCTGGTGCTTAAAAGCCTACAGGCAACTCAGGAGTGTTTTCCTGGCTCTGCAGCTGCCCTAGAAAAGTTTCCATCTGAGATTAGAAAACTATCTTGATGGAAATGGGAAGTCAGGTATCTGGAGTCTGGCCATCTGGAGCTTTCTCACTGGGGACCTCGGCCACCCCAGCCCACACCCTCTGCACCTCCATTGTCTGCGGGCTTCCACTTGCAGCAGGACTAGACCTCTGCATCCTGTCCTGAGCTGCAAGGGCGGGGCTTTACCTGGAGGCTCCACCACTTGCTCCTTCTGAACCCGCTAGTCAGAGGCCTGCCATCCCTCTCCTTTCCGCTGCACTGGGTGCAGGAGTGCAGGCTGCCAGCCCCCACAGAGTGGCCTTGCAGAAGAGCTTGCCCATCTTTCCCCAGGCGCCCTTGTAACGCAATCTCTGCCTTTGCTCTCTTCCTGCAGGTGTAGGAATGAAGTTAACTGATGTGGGCATAGCAACACTGGCTAAAGGGTAAGTAGGGAAAAAACCAAGTGCTACAAAGAACACAAATCTGTAAAGGAAATCTTCATTCTGGAAGCTCTCCCCGGGTTCAGGGGAATCCCTTCCTAACTGGGCTCCATCATTGATGGTCCAGGATGATGATTAATCAGATGGCTGCTGGGACAGCAGGTGTGGGTGGCACTGTCCTGGGCAAACCTGGATGGACGGGCATCCCTTCCATCACATGGGCCACCGAGAAGCAGGGTTCCCAGACTGGGTTCCTGTGCAGGGTTCTTGTCTTACCAGCCATATGGGCACCGACTTTAAGTTCTGATCTACAGAATGGGGACTTTTTTGGGTTGTCTTAAGGTTCCCCCAGTTCCTCTATAGCTGGTCCCTGAAACTCTCTGTATGTGTTTGATAAAAATTGGGGTTTTTCCTCTTCATGTCTCATCCTGACCGCAGAGTAGGCAAATTTCAGAGCATTATTTAAAATCACTTTCTGCCAAAACAAAGCAGAAAACTGCTCAAGAAGTTTCAAAAACCAAAGCAAGCTTAAGACAAAACAATCAAGACATCCTTTAAAAGCATCTTAACAGCTTCCAGGAAACCAGGCTGCATATTTTCCCTCCTAATTTAAGAAGAAATCCAATTCCTTGGTTTTGTTGTCAGCTTTAATGTGTGCTCTCTGGCCTGGGACAGCTGCCCAAGGCCCATTAGGAGAGCTGATGGCTGAGCCCAATGCGGGAAACTGTCTATAAAGTGTTACTGTCCCTCCCTGCAGGGGCCAGGGGCAGAGATGGGCGAGAAGGGAATTCTGCAGCACTGAGAGTTCTGGAAGGGTGATTAGATCATATGTCTATTGCTTGTGAGTTTTCTTTAAGCTTTGCATTTTAAGACACATTCCCCGACCCCCACCGCACCACCTCAAAAAGAAACATTTCTCAGAAGCTCAGTTTGAAAAACTGATCAAAGGGGGGGCCTTCTCCAGTCAGAGGGGAGGGAGTGGTTGGGAACCCCTGGGAGCCCCTCTCTGTTCTGGGGTGAAAAAAAGCCACATCCAGCCTTCTGACTTATCAAGTTGGGGGTGGGAGGTACAGGGCGAGGGGCTGCCCCTTCACAAGTGCAGGGGCTGCCAGAAGTGAGGGTCTGGAAGAAAAGGGCAGCTGCCCAAGGTTTGAGGCAAGACTAGATGGAAGATACTGTCCCTTGGAAGCCAACACCGCAAGATGGAGCGCACGCGGTGGGGAGAGACTTGGCACGGGCTGGGAAGGCAGCTGGCAGGCAGGCAGAGAAAAGTCCAGGTAGGAGCAGCCCCACCCAAGCAGAGCTTCCAGAGGGAGAAGGTGCTGGCTCAGCATTGCCCAAGGGTGTTCTCTGTTCTTGGCAGGCACCCTGCGCCCTAGTTCATCCGGGATGGCCGTGGAGCCCTGGGACCTGGGGCAGAGGTGCGGGCATAAGAAGCCGTGCTCCCGAGGCTGCCTCGACCCGCTGTCTTTAAACACATCAGAAAGCACATAAGATGGGGGGCCTGCGAGGGAGAAATCACAAGGAGGCAAATCTGTCTTAGATGAATAACGAATAACGAACAATAATGCTAATATTCTGCTTAAAACAGAAAGAAACTATTTCCCAAACGGCAGGCCCACCCTTCTTTGGCCAGCGGAGGTCAGGCTCTTGGGCGGGAAGAGGAGCTCTTGTGTCATTTACAGAAACTATTTCCTGTGTCTCGGTCTGGACCAAGTGTTGGTCTGGGGACACCCCCATTAAGTAACCGGCCGTGTTTTTTTTTTTTTTTTCCGTTTAATGAAGTCAGAGAGTGTGAGCCTATTTTGAGGGTAGTTACTGTCTAATTTTTTTAAAAAAGGGCTCTCTCAGGACTTCTTCGTTTTAATGCAATTTCACTTGGTAATATGACCGACCCTTAAGATAGAAATCTGGCATCTTTTCCCCGGCAGCCTGGTGTGAATATGTCTGGAAACACACCACCTACACCTCGATATCCTCCTGTAGGCGATATTGAGTATAAAAATTTTGAGGTATGAAGTACAGCAGGCAGGATTGTGCGACATCTAGTATCTCCAGGCAGACCCAAGGTACACATTTGAAATGACTCAGCCATGTAGACTTCTCTGAGGGAGGGCAGGGGAATGGCTAATACTGGAACTGGGTTGTCCAAACCCAAACCAGGGCACACAGCATGTGCAGGGAGCTGGTTTGCTCCTGGGACAGCAGGTCCTGCACCCCCTTGCTGCCCCCTTCTCCTGTCCCCCAGCAGTTTCTGGGGGGATGGTGAGATCATGATGTAGCCACTAGAGGGCACCAGAGCCAATACTTTTGCCCTTAATAGTCTCTGCTCCCAGCCAACCCCCAACCCCCCAACCTCCCCAGCCCATTTCATGTTGCTGGACTGAAGGAAAACAAAGAAAGTGCCTGAAGCAGATTTCTCCCCAGTCAGCAAGCCCTGGAACAGCACAGGATTGCCACGACAAGCCACAAAGGACAGAGGGCAGTGTGACTGCAGGCCAGCCTGTCCAGAAAAGGGCTCTGCCCCCAAAGCTCAGAGCAGCCCACTAATCTCCACAGGTGTTGTTTTTCCACCAGGGCACATGCCAACTACTTGGCCATTCTTGCTTCACTTAGGAATAACTATATTCCATGCACCATTCATTTTCCCCTTCAAATTTTTATTTGCAAGTGTCCTTTTGTTTTGTTTTGTTTTTTTTTAAACGATGTCTCCTTCCACCCAAACTCAGGTACAAAGGATTTAAAGGCAACTGTTCCATGACCTTCATCGATCAGTTTAAAGCATTACACCAGTGTAACAAGTATTGTAAAATGCTGGGGCTGAAATCGCTGCAGAATACCAGCCAGAAGCTGAAGAAGCCCAGCGTGGGGAAAAGCAAAATCCAGCCAAGCTCCACAACAGTGAAGAAGGTGCCTTCTTCTTCTGGGACCCCTGCAGAAAAGAAAACCTAACCCCTCTGAATGAGCGTGAATGAACCAGCGGCACATACTGTGTGGGTAGAATCCTGAAAACGCCCTGAGAACGCCTGGGAGAGTCTGCAGAATGCTGTGACGATCCTTATTCCTGACTATGTGTCCTCCACGCTGCTTCAAAGCCCGTCACCTGCCGTCTCCACTGGAATGATTTTGGAGCAGTATTGGCGGCCAGACTTAAAGAGACAGAGCCAGCGGTCATTCTCAAGGACAGTTCATGTTTGTGTACGCCTTTGGCATTTTCACCGACCTCACGTTGTGTATGTTTGTGTATTTGCACGTGGTTGTGTTGTCAGGACTTGGTGCTGAGCTGGTCTGTCCCCAGTCAAATCCCCCCCTCCCTGTTGCTAACCTTGGATTTCTAGACACCTCCAGCTGCTACATGACCAGAAAACGGGAATTCCTTCCTGGGGTCAAGTCGTTGCAATCATGTCGAATATGCTGTTGTCCCTAGAGGTGACTTCCAAAAAGCGAGGCCACTTCCTGTCACTCTTCACACATCCACTTGTAGTGTTCTGGTTAATTAAATTCATATTTAAACAAAAAGTGGAAGATGCATATGTTACCAGACACTTGTTTTTTAGAATATGTGGCATATTTCAGTCCCCCCAGGATTAGTACATTTAGTCATTTTTTTTTAATAGAGGCATGTTTTATTTATTTATTTGTTTGTTTGTTTGTTTTTGTTTATACATGCACTGGGTACAGTCAGAAGCGCGGGAGGGTGAGAGAATTCACCAGAGCCAGAGCGGGGAGCAGAGCAGGCAGAAGGACGGAAGTGCACTGCTGAGGGGAGCAGCGGGCGGCAGGAGAGGTCTGCGCGCCATGTGGGACCCTCCTCCGGTGGCCGGGGAGCAGCCGGGGATGGAACCTGCGCCGCAGAGGCCGTGGGCAGCTTCGCAATCCAGCGCTCAACTGCTGCGCCAACGGGGAGGCCCTAATCATTTCTTAATTAAGTTTAATGGAGCACAAAATATTTCTATTTGACCCCATCTTATATCACAACGTTGGCTCCATCAATTTCTACTTTGCCCTTTAAACCCAGATTCCCTAAACACAGGGCTGCCCCCTGCTGGATGGCAAAGGAGGTGCATGCAGGTCCTGAGGGGGAAACACCCACCTGCCATGGGCATCCCAGCCACGCCCGCCCACCCCGGTGGGTCTCCTCAGACCAGCGTGGGACATGCCCAGCTGCAGAGCAGAGTGGCAGTTCATGGTGGGCAAGAGGAACGGGCATTAATACAGCTCACGGAGAATCTTCTGTTTCTCAGACTGGAAAAGAATGCTGACCCAACGCTTTGTTGTCTAACAGACCGTTTTTAGAGCACAAAACCTAAAAGTGCACAACTTTCAGGTTTACAGAAAATTGAGTGGAAGTAGAGAGCGTTCCCATAGGCTCCCCTCGCCCCACTATTCTTGTCCTGCATTAGTGTGATACCTGTGTTACAGCCAATGAGCCAGCATGGATGCGTTATGGTTTCTTAAAGTCAACGATTTACACTAGAGGCCCTCCTTGTGCTGTTCATAATCTGAGTTTTGACAGATATCTCATGACATGTATCCGCCAGGTCAGTACCCTACACAGTCGTGTCACTGCCCTGGAAATCCTCCCATCTCTCACCTGTCCTTCCCTGCACTGCCCCCACCCCCAGCACCTGGCCGGCACTGACCTTCTTACTGTGTCCAGAATGCTGTGCAGGCAGGTCTTGCAGCTGGGTGGCTGTTTCGGGAGGATGCCGGCTGGCCCCTGGCTGTGTCTGGGAGGCCTGGCCCCAAGGAAAATGCAGGTTATCATGGGGAGGGTGCTGGGCCTAAGAGTCAGCATTTCTAGCAGGGCCCCAGGGATCTCCATGGCATTCAGGGAGCACACTTGAGGGGCTGTCTAGACCACAGTTAGAGTCCTGGAGTGTTGAGGGGAGTGACCAGAAGCCCTAGAGCTCTGCTGAGGAAGCACCGGCTGCTTCTTGATTCTGACTGTGCCTCAGGGGCTTGGCCTAAGGAAAGCGTCCCTGTGAGGCCTTATCACAGCCATTGTGGGCAGTGCCAGGGGCTCCACACAGCCTCTCTCGGGGGCAGTGGGCTTCTGTGGAAGATTCCTGGCTGTCTCTGCTGTAAAACACTGTTCTCCTTGGGTACAGGACTTTGGGGGGAGGGGAGGTGAAGAGCGGGAGAGGGAGAGAGGGAGAACTCAGGGGGATGTCCATTTAAAAAGGGATTTAAAAGAGAAAACACTTCAGTCAGTCTCCTGTCTTCTCAGGAATCTACCATCTCAGCCTCTTTTCTGAATCTGGCTATTGATTCTAAAATGCTCATTTTTCAACAAGGCTGTAGCCTACATTCCCCATAGACATTCCACAGATGTATTTGGCTGTGAGGTTCTAGAAAGTTCCACAATGGCAAAACTTGCAGGACACGTGTGTGTGTGTGTGTGTGTGTGTGTGTGTGTGTGTGTGTGTGTGTAGCTTTCACCAGACCAGCTACTTTCCTTGGTGATGATAAAAGTGCTACTATCTACCCGAGGGTTGAACTATTTTAAGTTTTAGAAAGATACAAAAGGAAAAGTTAAAGTCCTCTTCATCCCCTCTAGCTGGTTATGAGTTTGGACTTGCACAGTTGAAGGAGCAGGACTCTTGTCCCATATTTTGCGTTTTGCAGTCACCCATGGGTGTGTCTTTGGGCTGGAGTGGTCCCTTAATCTTTTCATAGTTGCTTTTTTTTTTTTCCAAAGTGCCCCAAATGTTTCATCTGCTCATAACCACTGATAGACCAGGGACGGAAGGTCGCTAGTGGTGGGGTCTGTCCTGGCTGGGGCTCCCAGGGGTGGCCTTTGCATGTCCTAAGGCCACCCACACCTGACCTCCGGGGGAGGTAAGTAGCTGTTTTCTTGCACAAATAATAGGGTGAGTGTGCAGTGGGCTCACTAACCCCAAAGGTGGTGTTCTGGGATCTCAGAAATGGCCACACCCATTGCTGCTATTTTAGCTCAGTTTGTATCACGCCTACTTCTTATTGAATTTCCCATTTATTTCCACAAATGTGTGCTGGTGGATGGTCTAGAGGAAAGGTTCAATCCAGGCACCCAGCGAGGACTGGCGTGTGGGACTTGCTGCCTGCAAGGGGTGGTGGGGGGTGTGTGGTCACAGACGTGAAGTGTCTCTGTTCCCTCAAGGGCTGGACAGTGGAGACCTGTGATGGGCAATCCCAAACATAACCCTTTGGCACAACAGGCTTGTCCACACAGCAGGTCCTCGCTGACGAGAATGGTGGAGAGAGGAGGCCCGTTGGAGCGGTCCGGGTTTGGATGCGAGGCGCTGGCCTGCCTCATTGCCCCAGCGCCTTCCCAGCCAGGCTTCTGATAAGCTCATAATAGCAAAGGGTTTCAATAGATTCTAGTCAAAAGAAAGGGAGCAACAGCAACAATTCTTTCTAGTTATACGTACGTAACTCTCTTTTCCAAATATCCGCGCTGTTTTGCAGGTGCAGGGCGCATGTTGGGCCGCATGCAGGGGCCGAAGGGTGGGGAGAGCGTGCCAGCCTGGTGCTGGCTGCTTCCTCTGAGTGTGTTCTGCTCCGCGGACCACGTGTGTGTGAGTGAACAGACTCACATGTCTCTCCCATTTGGATCTGCAGATGACACGTGGGTTAGTGAGTTAAAAAAAAAAAAATCAAATGAAACACAAAACCTCTTCTGCTCACCACAGGGCATATTTTGCAAGTCTTTGCTCGAATGGCCCTGAAACGCTTTGAGAGTTGGTCTAGAATCAGTCTGCTTGGTCTAGAATACGTTTGTAAAAGCTGCAGGGCAGGACGGGTGCCAATTTCACTGCATGTCCCGTGAGCACGACGTCCACTTGACAGCGAGGTGAGCATGTGTGGACGGGGCTTAATTGTGTCGCTCAGACGGAGAATTCTTCAGTACTATTTTTTATAAGCGCCCACATGGTCCCCTACAGACAGAGACCATCTGGGGCCCTTTTAAAAATCCACATGTTCTTGATCAGATGGGGTCAAGAAGGGCTACTCCATCAGTTTCTGTGGGTCTGCTACTCCTAAGCAGCCTATTCGGCCGCCATTTTGTCACCTAAACAAGGTCAAAGTTGGCCCAGCCAGTTAGGAACAGGAGCCCAAACCCTTAAGCCCTTCAGATGAAACAAGAGCACAAAGCTGGACCACACTGGGAAGGTTATGCATCACAAGGTATATCTAGAACACCCAGAGGGCTGAGGACTTATGCATAACATATGCATCACAAGCTATGTCCAGAATGCCCAGGGGCTGAGGATCCATGCATAACATGTGCATCAGGAGGTATGTCCAGAAAGCCCAGGGGGCTGAGGACCGATGCATAACATATACTCCCAATTTATACATCACGAGGCATGACCGGGAATACCCGGGGGGGCCAAGGACCAATGTATGACAAGGGACCCCAGAAGCTGATCAGTGGAGCACCTTGTTGATAAGATTAGAACCATGGCTGGGGATTAGGGTGTAGCATCAAGTAGATTAGAAGTGCCTGGAGGGCAGACTCACAATCCCTAATCTTCTACACCCTTCCCCTTTTCTTAATCTCCCTAATCTCCTTACAACCAATTACGTGTGTCAATAAAAGGGCCAGGATCTTGCTCTTCAGCAGCATCCTGCATTGTGCAGCCTGCTCCATGACTCCCGTTTGTCAGTGTGGTGTTGTCTAATGCAACAAGTTTCTGCTTTAGGACTTCAATATATCGGAGCAATTCTTCGGGACAGCTCACCTCCCTCTCCCTAACCCTTTCTCGTCTACCTCTACAACATAGCAGGTGGGGGCTGCTTCCCATTAAGTTGCCCACAGCACTTTCCTTGCTGTCCATGTGGGTTTCCTGCTGCTGCCGTAACAAAGTGCCACAAACTGGGTGAGTCAAACAACAGAAATTGCCTCACAGTTCTGGAGCTGGGACTCTAGGTCGGGGTGTGGGGTTGGGGGAAGGAGCCCCTTGGGTCTCCTCACCCACATTTTGGGAGTTTCTTAGCTCCTGTCTTCACATGGCATTCTTCCTGTATGTGGGTGCGTGTGTCCAAATTTCCTCTTTTGCTCAGGACATGAGCCATATTGAATTTGGGGCCACCCTCATTTTAACTTGGTTAAGACCCTAATCCTAAATCAGACCCTATCCCCAGATGAAGACAGAGACTCCAACAGAGGAGTTTAGAGGCGACAATGTGGCCCAGACAGCGTCCTTTCACATCCACATCCATGAACATCAGTTTGCTCAGGCCAAGAGTGCAGGAGATGAAGTGGGAGTGTCTGCTTGCCCCCCAGGGCCTCCTTCTGTCCTCATGGTGGGGTGGCAGCCCCTAGAGATGTCTCTGTTTCCTGGGAGCCTGTCTACACCCCCAGCCACCCTGTGTGCTTCATTGCCCAGGGCGATGACGTAGCTGAGCACACCCGGCCCTGCCCTCCCATGTCCTCACTGTCCCTGGTGCTTCCTGACTGAGACTTAAAATTGTGTGGTTCTCCTTCCTGCCCCACAAGATGCCCCTGGGCCTCATACCACCTTCTAATACACTACGTGGTTGACTTATTGATTTTATTCCATGATTTATCTCCCCATTAAAAT